TCCCTACCAACACATTCCACAAATGATCGCTTAAATCCACTTCTTCCTCTTATTACTACCTCATCCTTAACAAGGAATAGAGCCTCTGTGGGACTGTTTCTTTGCCTCCCGAGGACCGTCCTCCCAAAGCCCAGAATAATCCTCACCACCCAGAGAAGACAGTGTTCCCACCCCAGGCCCTGAGTTCTGCAAGTCAGAGTACATCATTCTTTCTCAGGAAGGAACATAAGAAAGATGGCACGTGAGCACATGTCCACGATTTGTTCGGTTTCTTGCGAACTGCCAGGTGGCAGAGACCCCCCTCCCATCCCCAGGAGGCTTCTAACAGCAGCTCTTTTCTCTTTCAGCACGATCTCTTTAAGATGGACATAGATGACTGCAATGGCCGCTCCTATATGTCCGGTATGCCCTCTCCACATTCTAATCATAAGGGGCCGGGAGCACTCTCCTACGAGCAGAGCAGAGAGACTCCAGCCCAGCCCTGACCTCTGAGAGCTCCAGTCACAGAGGTGACGCTGACGCTTGATGGTGCTTGGTCATGTGCATTCAGTTTGGTCATCGTCCACTCCCTAAAGAGTCCTTCTCTCTCCTAGCTTCTTGGAAGATGGAGGAAGGGTAGGGAAGAGGAGGGGTCTACAATGGGAGACTCTGAGAGAGGTTTGGAGTGACTGATGCAGAGAGATAAAGGGAAAATCTCATTTCTCCTCTTGGGCTCTGAGTTTAGTGGCCAAACATGGCAATTCTGTCCCACCGGGTAGCGTGGAGCAGGGTTTCAAGACACCAGAGCCTGCGGGGACCAGGTGTGCATGTCAGTGAGTGAACTGTGGTAGGGTGATGAGTGGACGAGAATGATGGAGACGAGCCGGAATTGCAAACACGTGTCCTGCCTTGAGTCGTGTGTCTCACCGGCAGTTAGCAGTCATTGTGATGAGGAAAGCGGGAGCCAGTGGGGCCTAAAGTGCCGAGAAAAATCAGAAATTCAGATTTTGTTGCCTATGACCAACCCAGGTTCGATCCCCAGCATCCCATCTGGTCCTTAAAGCACCGCTGGGAGTAAATCCTGAGTGCAGAGCCAGGAATAAGCTCTGAGCAACATTGGGGGTGGCCTCCCAAACAAACAACCCCCCCCCAAAAAAAGTTTCCACTTAAAACAATGTCGGAGGGGGGCTAGAGCAATAGCACAGCGGGTAGGGCGTTTGCCTTGCACGCAGCCGACCTACGTTCGATTCCCAGCATCCCATATGGTCCCCCGAGCACCACCAGGAGCAATTCCTGCGTGCATGAACCAGGAGTAACTCCTGTGCATCGCCGGGTGTCACCCAAAAAGAAAAAAAAAAACAATGTCAGAGGATGTGACTCTGGAAAAGCACATATATCCTCTGCATGCAGGAGGCTCTGGATTCAACCAGTTTGCTGATAGTTTATCGCCTTTGAAACAAAGATATAGAATTCAATTATCATTTCCCCCATTTCTTTTCCTCCATTATTGCATGTTACAGGTTTTTGTACATGTGAAATACTATTACCAAAGCAGAGAGATCATTGCTTGTAATAAAAATGATTTATTAATTTAAGAATGGTTTTAGAAATACAAAAATCATCAGGATGTGGTTGATCTCCTAATTTTAAGAAGGTTTAACAAGTTTATCTGGGCATTGGAATGATATACAGTGGGTCGGACACTTGAGTTGTATGTGGGTGACCTGGATTCCCATTCCCCAGCACCCCATATGGTCCCCCAAGCCCAATAGGAGTGATCCCTGAGTGCAGAGTCAGGAGGTAGCCCTGAGCACTGCCAGATGTTGTCCAAGAACCAAAACTAAAATAAACAAAGGATATCAGAATTGGTTTGGGTTTTTTGTTTTGATTTTGGTTTTTTTTGTTTTGATTTTTTGGACCATACCTGGTGGTACTCAGAGCTACTCTCAGCTCAGTGCTCAGAAGTCCCTCCTGGCAGTGCTCAGGGAGACTTTGTAATACTGGGGATCAAACCCAGTCCTCCTATGTACAAAACCTGCACTCCAGCCTATTGAGCCACCTCTGTGGCCCTCACAGGCAACTAAATTTTGACATGATGAGTATCATTGTAGAAATGACTATTACTTTTTTGGGGGCTGGAGCAATAGCACAGCGGGTAGGGTGTTTGCCTTGCTTGTGGCCGATGTGGGTTCGATTCCCAGCATCCCATATGGTTCCCTGAGCACCTCCAGGGGTAATTCCTGAGTGCAAAGCCAGGAGTAACCCCTATGTATCACCAGGTGTGACCCAAAAAGCAAAAAAAAAAAAAAGACTATTACTTTTTTTAAGGGGGTGAGAGGGGGAACACCTAGCAATGCTCAGGGGTTATTCCTGGCTTTGCACTCAAGAATTACTCTTGGCAGTGCTCAGGGGATCATGTGGGATGCCAGGAATCACACCTGGATCGACTGCATGCAAGGCAAATGCCCTGTCTGCTATAGTATCGCTCCAGCCCCTATAACTTATTTTTTACCCTAAATTGAGACCAGTAGAACTTTGGGAATGTACTAAGGGGAACGCAAAATGGCTCAGACACACAAATCAGCGTCACTGGCCACACCTGGGTAAGGTAAGGCCATGACTCATTCCTTTCTCCACTGAGAAAAAAATCTATTTGGAATGGGTTCAATATCTGCCACTGTTACTTGATCAAGTGACCAGAAACAAGTAGATTTAATTGAAAGGGATTTTATTTGGGTCTTTTTGTTTTGTTTTGTTGTTTTTGTTAGTGGGGGGCCACACAGGGCAGTGTTCAAGGCTTATTACTTCCTGACACTGCTCAGGGATCACTCCTGGTGAGGATCTGGGGACCAGACAGGGTATTAGGAATCGAATTCAGGTCAGCCACACATTGTACTATCTCTTTGGTCTTGAAAGGGACTTAACTGAAACTAAAGTCTTAGCCCTTCTGAGTAACTAGCCAATCCTTCGACCTCCTAAGCAGGCTATGTCCGTTAAGTCTGTTCAGAAAACTGCTATTGAGCTGTGCTTAAACTCAGTCAGGTGAAAACTGGTCCCTAACCTGGGGCAGGGGTGGCAAATTAGAAACAGGAAGATGCCCGGAAAAGTATTCTCTGGCGCTCTTTGCTTTCCTCCCTAGAGAACAGTGGGTATCAGGAGAAAACATTCAAGGGTGTTTAGCTCTGACCCCAGGCCTTCCCTGAGGCCAGCAGATTGGCATGTCCTCAGTGAGATGACTCCTCCTCGTGGAGGGTGGTTTCCAGTGAAAGTCCAGGCCGTGGGGCCAGAGTGATCACACGGCAGGTAGGCCTTTGCCTTGCACAGAGCCGACTCAAGTGTGATCCCCGGCATCCCATATGGTCCCCCGAGCACTGCCAGGAGTAATTCCTGAGTGCAGCGCCAGGAGTAACCCCTGAGCAATGCCAGGTGTGACCCAAACAGAAACCTCTCAGTAATGTTTTGGGATGTCTCGCTATTAGCAGCTGCCTGAGAGATAAGGGGCAATCAAGCAGAGACCCTGGAAAATACCACTGCAGGATAGGGCCTGATGGAGGGTCCTCCCGGGCCTCTGAATGCCCCTTTGGCCCATCTCTGTCGGTGGCAGGAGGGCAGTGGTCAGGGTTGCCGTGGACAGCCCTGGAGCCCCTCCAAGTTCAGAACAGCCTTTCTGCCCGGACACAGTTGCCTCCCCTGGCCTGGCTGCTTGGTGAGGAAGGGGGTCTCTCCTGTTCCCCACCCCATAGGCCCTGACAGAGGAGCATCCATCTTCTCTCCTGGGGCTCTTTAAAGGTGCAGACCACTCCCTGGAAGTGAGGGAGAGAGGGATGAGGGGAAGCCGAGTAGGATAAGGGGGGGAGCAGGGTGGAGTAAGGCGGGGGGCGATGAGGGGCGTCAGTCTACCCCGCCCCTTTCAACGGAAGTAAAGCAGCTGCTCAGAACTGGCCCCTGTGATTCAGGGACTGAGCAGAGCTGGTCCAGAGCTGTCTGGGACTGGGAAATGTTTCAGGGAAGCTTAGTGGAAAGGGAGCCAGGGGGAGGCAGCCCAAAGTTTCAGGGCCCCGCCCACCCCCAAATTCTTGGAATCAGAAAATCTAGTCTTCCAAAGTAGGTCAGCATGCCAGTGAGCGGCTGCTCCTCTGGAAGGGAAGGAGCCGAGAGGCCTTGGATGATGAGGGCTGCGGGGCCCAGGGGCTCAGGACAGGAGGGGAGGTGGGGAGAGGTCGCCCGCCTTTTGCCTGGGATGTGAAAGGGCTTCCGGCCACAGTGCAGCCTTAGCCTGAGAACTGCCTGTGCTGGGCCCACTTGCTGCTGGGAAGGAGGCGGCTGTCGGTCCCCAGATCTAGAAAGCGACCTCCCCTCGGTGGGGAGGAGGAGGAGGAGGGGGGATGGAGTGCTGGACTCTCTGGGGGAGGGGCCTGGAAGCTGCCCGTGTCCTGGGCCCCTGACCTCTGGGGCCTTGGCTTTCCCAGCTGGCAGGGGATTGGGCCTTTCCTGGGGCCCCCCTTCCTACCTCCCACTCTGCGGGCCCATCCATCTCTCCCTCTCTCTCTCCCTCTCTCTTTCTCTCTCTCTCTCTCTCTCTCTCTCTCTCTCTCATGCACACTCTCTTGTCTCTCTCAGGCATTTGTTGTACAGTTCCTCTTTGTCTGCTGGGCATGAGGGCAGCGGCATCTGCCTCCCCCTCCCAAGCACCACCCCCCCCCACCAAGTCCTGGCCCTTCACTGGCTTGGGAAAGGGATGTTAGAGCCTAGCCCCCTCCCACCACCCCCAACACACGTTCTCCCCGACCCCCTCCCCAAGCACATCCAAGCGTGCCCTATTCTCCCTCTCTCTCCCTCCCGCTCTCTCCCTCTCCCTCACTCTCTCTCTCTCTCTCTCTCACACACACACACACACACACACGCACACACACACACACATTCACACACACACACACACACACACGCGCGCGCGCACGCACGCACACACACACACACACACACACACACACACACACACACACAGAGCCCCTGGGCTGAGCTCTTGCCGCTGCGCTGCAGCCGTGGGCCCCCGCTCACCGAGCCGCTGCCGCTGCCTGCGAAATGACGGCGGTTCCCCTCACTTCCAGGAATCCACGCTTCCTGGAAGGTGAGTGGCTGGGCTCACCCCTGCCTGCCACCCAGACGCAGACATGCACACACCACCCGCACTCCCTCGCCGCCGTTTCCAAGGCGGCGGCCGTGTTCGCACCCCAGGGTCTCACCGGCAAGGGAAGGATAATGTAAGTTCAGGCAGAAGGTGGCTAGTGGAGGGGGGCGGGGGTGGGGTCGGGGGGTGCCGGGGCTGGGGAGCCAATTCAGCAACAACTCCCTCCCAAGCCTGCGGAGAGGGAGAGGATGGGGGTGAGAGAGAGAGAGAGAGAGAGAGAGAGAGAGAGAGAGAGAGAGAGTGTGAGTGTGTGTGTGTGTGTGTGTGTGAGAGAGAGAGGGAGAGAGGGAGAGAGCGAGCGGGGGAGGGGGCGTTCCTCTCTGCACTTGCAGAGGATGGGAAAGGGTGTTTGATGTTGCTAAGCAAAGACTGCGACTTGGACACTGGGAGCTCGTGGTGACATCTTGATTAGGCCTTGGGGACAGACGTAGCGCTGCCTGGGGTGAAATGCCGAGACGGGCCTGGGTGGGAAGGGGTAATAGAACCGAGGGGCCGAGGAACCCAGGCAGCAGATGGACAGAGATGGGGGGGACCTCGCCTATCCCCCTGCCCCCCCATAGGACTGGGGATGGCGGCTTTCTTTGCTCCGGTGCCCACCGTTTCACGCTAGCAACCCGCCACCCTGGAGCGCACAGTCAAGACAGGGAAAGCTCTTAGAATGAGGCCCCTTGCGGAGGACCGCGAGGTGTTTGGGGCTCAGGGCGAGTACCTAGGGGCACCCCCGCTTTGAAGGGATGAGGAGGGGGCTGCCTTCTCTCAAGCCGGGAAGCACCTTCAGCTCCTTCAGCCGGGGTGGGTTCTCGGCTCCTTTCTCTCCCTCCTGCATCCCTGCCCTTTCCCCACCCCCCAGGTCATCCGGTGTGTGACCCTCATGATTTGCCTTGGCCCTCCGGGGGTGCAGCCTGTCTGGGGTTGACTCGGACCAGGAAAATTCCTCCCAGCCCCTGAAAGCAGCCATAGTTGGGGATTTCTCGTTTGAAATTCCCTCACTGGGGTTGCTGGGACCGAGAGGGGAACGACTCCACTTCCCAGATCTGACTCTCATCCCCACTCACCTCCGGGTAGAACTCAAGATCCCAGGAGCCCCACGGAGACTCTGGCCCCAGAGATGAATTCACTTCTGTGCATTTGCCCGTGAGTGTAGACTGGAGCCCGTTTTTCCTCTCACAGTGATGCTGGGGAGGACGAGGGGATCAGCCGGCCTTCGAGGCATCTGCCCCTCCCCAGGTGGGAGCAGGGAGAGCCACAAAGGATGCTTTCCTCTCCGTGCCCCTCAGTATTCCAGGAAGGATCTCTTCCCCACCTCTCAAGTCCCTGGCCCCCAGAAGCAATTCTGCCTCACCGGCTGAGTTCAGCCATAGGCTTCCCGCAAGCTCATTCCTTCCGCCAGGCTTGAGGATTCAGCTTGGGGCCCCCGGGCCGTTCTTCCCCCCACTGCTAATAGTCAAGTGATTTAGGGCAAGTTAGCACTAAACGTTTGAAAACTGCATGAGAAGATCCCCTTTCAGTCCTTCTAATCATGGGAAACCCTACTCTTAATTAAAGGACTTTTTTTTTTTTTAAAGACTGGTTACACATCTCAGCTCCCAACTCTTGAAAGGTGCACTTGGTGATAAGTGTGGGGTTCTGATTGGGGGTAGCTTCCTTAATGCAACCCTCCGGCTTGTGAAAAGAGTCCCAGCCAGGGGAAATGCAGTTTTAAGCCACAAGGCTTTGTCTATAGAAGGGGAACAAATTTGCTCAGGCTTTTATGGGCTAGGATGGGGGAAATGGGGAACTTTTAGGAGCAAATGGGAATGGGAAATGGTCCCAAAGTCCTGAGTGGTTGTTTTCTTCCCACTGACCAAAGCCGGAGAGGGATCCCTCAGGAGGGTGTGTTCCGGATTTCTTGCCTCAGGCCCAAGACTCCAACCATTTTATAATGGAATCTTTATTTTGTGAAAGTAAGTATGTGCATAGCCGGGGAACTAACTGGGTAAAGCACTAATAGGTGGCCTTTAGGAATGAATTGTAGGGTTTGTCTGTCTGTCTCTCTCACTCACATATAGGCCTGTGCACACATCCATGCATGTTCATGTTATGAGACAATGTAAAAAACTCGGAGTGTGTCTATCCCAGTAGGGATATTCTCTGTGTGCATTTACATACGTGACCTGTGTCTGTATCTGTGTTTATCTACATGTATCATGTGTTTGATTTCACTTCTACTTTTGGTGGGGTGGAGGGCTTTTCTTAAAGGAAAAAAAAACATGATTCAGATCATCGGGTATGTTATCTGATTTTTGAAAATGTGTGAAACTCAAAAACCATTTTTACCGAGTTATCTGTCAAATGTTAAAATTAATATATTGAGAATGAATTTATTATTTCACCATCAAGGAAACACTGGCTAGTAAATATATGATTAGAATTGTGTCAGATAGGAAATTTCCAGAACAGTTGAATTTTTGCTGACTTTAGAAGGTCTGACGGGCCCTCCTCTTCCCCACTGGACCAATGGCTCTCCCTTGATTGTGTAGCTAGTGGGGAAGGACCCGGGCCCTTCCTGCCTATGACTTGGTTCTAACCACAGCCAGTGACACTACCTTGGTCAAGTAACGTTGCCTCTTTGGTACCTTAGTTTTCTCATCTGCAAAATGGGAATAATACTGGCACCTAGTCTGCTAAGTTGTGGAGAATAATTGTGATGAGCCATTTAGTGAACATGCATAAGCGCTGGCACATAAGCACGCGATTCGTGTTAGCTGCGATCGTTATTATTACTATTATTATCATTAGATTCAGGGACAATTCCAGCTGCCCTTCCTGCAGATCCTGATCCTGGTGTTGGGCGCTCCGGAGAGGAACAGTAGGGAAGAACGCCTGTCCTGCTCCGTCTCCCTCCTGAGGTCCCATGTTCCTCTCCACCCTGGCCCGCCCAGCCCCAGCCCTGCTTCCTGTGGACGTCAGGCAGTGATCTTCCCCTCAGCCTAGATAAAGGTAGGGTGGGCAAGGCCAGCCACGGAGCTCGCGGAAGTCAGCACCGGGCACCAGGCGGGCAAGGGCACAAGGTATGGTGCCCTGCTTACGACATTGCCTTGTTCACGGCGACCAGAAAAATGTGTGTGGCACGGGACTGAATTGTGAAGCAGTCACACAAATGGACAGTCAGTGGCTCCGCCTGCCGCTTCATCTGCCCTCTTATTTTCTCCTCCAAGGTAGCGGGGACTCATCTCTGGAGAAGGAGTTCCTCGGGGCCCCAGTGGGGCCTTCGGTGAGCACCCCCAACAGCCAACACTCTTCTCCCAGCCGTTCGCTCAGCGGTAAGTGCAGCCTCCCACCTGCCCTGGCCCTGGGCACCCGCCAGGTGCTCGGCGCTCGAGTCTCTGGTCTCTGGCAGCCCCCACCGCCATCTCCCTTCAGTTTCCTGCTCAGAGTTTCTGCAGCACCCGGAGATCAGTGTCTACAGCCTTCCCGGGTGATGAAAGGAGAGAGAACCCGCCTTGCCAGAGTAGGTCAAGAGGCCCAGGAGGAAGGGCCTGAGGCTGTGGTTCTGCGGCAGGGCATTTGCCTTGCACCAGTGAGGTCCTGGGTTTGATTCCCAGCGATTGTCCAGCATGGAGAGGAGGGGAGGGCAGCCTAGAAGCCAAGTGAAGGCTCAAGAGAGAAATTCTGCAGTTGGAGGAGAAGGAGATCGAGGCGCTCAGTAGCTAGCAAGAGACAGGAAACAGAGCTCTGGAGGATCTCCCGTCACCCTCACCACCCTCCTGCCCAGACAGGGTCCCTGGGGCTGCCCCTCAGCTGGCCCTAGATCTGTGACATTCTCTAAATGGTTGGAATAGTCAGGAATGTAGGTCAGAGCGAAAGCCAAGGTTTGCTTCTCGATGGCTCCTCCCTCCTCCGTGCCCTTCTCCAGATTTCCGTGGAGGGCCTGAGAGGAGTCCAGCCTCCTGGCCTCCACGTGCATTTCCTCCTCTGCTCTCTCTCCCAACCGCCGTATCTCCACTTTTCCTAGAAGGCTTTTCCCGCCACTGTTCCTTGCTGGCTTCCTGCCCGGGGCCAAGCCTGATGTCTTTTGTGTGTGTGTGTGTGTGTGTGTGTGTGCTTTTTGGGTCATGCACAGGAGTTACTCCTGGCTCTGCACTCGGGAATTGCTTCTGGCAGTGCTCAGAGGACCATATGGGATGCTGGGAATCGAACCTGATTTGGCCACATGCAAGGCAAATGCCCCAGCCCCCTGGCATCTTTCTTAATGACAAAAAAGTGGAGAAAAAGATTCCCGTTAGTCTCTTCCTCTCCTGGGTGACCCCCCCCGCCCCCCCACACACACCTCTCCTCTCCTGTTTTTCTCCTGGAGACTCTGCCTGGTGGGTGAGATAGAAAGAGAAATTGCTCCCGGTTCCAGCAGGTGCCTGGCAGAACCCAGGAAACTCAGGGTGTTGGGGTTCTCGAACACGTGAACGTCCCCGGGCCTTGGAGCCTTGCCTTCCAGACTTGGCCAGTGCCCTCCTGGCCGGGGGTGGGGGGCAGGGTCCTCCCTCTGTCCGCCGCTCCCCTAAACCCCGACCCGTCCTCCAGCCAACTCCATCAAGGTGGAGATGTACAGCGATGAAGAATCGAGCAGACTGCTGGGGCCAGACGAGCGGCTTCTGGAAAAGGATGACAGCGTCATCGTGGAGGACTCGCTGTCGGAGCCGCTGGGCTACTGTGACGGCAGCGGGCCAGAGCCCCACTCCCCTGGCGGCATCCGGCTCCCCAATGGCAAGCTCAAGTGTGACGTGTGTGGCATGGTCTGCATCGGGCCCAACGTGCTCATGGTGCACAAACGCAGCCACACTGGTGAGTGGCGCCAGGGAGAGGTCCCAGGGCTAAGGGCCGGGAATACGTGTAGGAGCCCCAGGTTTGGTCCCTGGAACTGCACGATCCCAGACCCCACCCCCCCAGCACTGTGAGAGTGACTCCGCTCCCCCCATCCCACAAATTCAAAATAAATTTGAAAAAAAGAAAAGGGAAGAGGGTATCTTGGCACATTTTCTTTTTCTTTTTTTTTTTCTTTTTTCTTTTTGGGTCATACCCAACGATGCTTGGGGTTCCTCCTGGCTCTGCACTCAAGAATTACTCCTGGCAGTGCTTGGGGGACCATATGGGATGCCGGGGATTGAACTTGGGTGGGTCACTTACAAGACCAAAACCCTATCTGCTGTACATTTTCTAGTTAATGAGTTTCAACTCATTCTAATGACGTTCTTCCTGGCCCTCTCCTCAACTGCAGAAGAAAAGCTGATGTTTTCTCTTTCCTTTTTTTTTTTTTTTTAGTTTTTGTTTTCGGGCCACACCCAGCAGTGCTCAGGGCTTCCGGCTCTGGGCTCCGCGGACCATGTGGGGTGCCAGGGATTGAACCCAGGTCAGCTGTGTGCGAGGCAGCTGCCCGCCCACACTGTACTATCTCCGCGCCCGAGTTGATATTTTTCTTAGGAGATGAGGCGAGGAAGGTGTTTCTGCCTTCGGAGGGATCCCGCAGGCCACCCGGAGCGGGGTTTCTGGAAACTGTTCTGGTTCCCGATAGTTTTGGGCCCCCCCCCCACCCGACTCCTGATCAACAAACAGAAACGGTGCTCCTGTCTGCTGATGCAGGCTTCGGGCTTCAGGGGCAGCGGGGGGACGGGGTGGGGAAACAACCTTGCCGCCACACACCCCTGAGTCACGCCATCCCAGGGCAAGATTGTTCCCAAACGACTTTTACAAAGCCAGACATACACATGCAGCTTTATTTATTTATTTATTTATTTTTGCTCTTTGGGTCACATCCGGCTATGCTCAGGAGTTACTCCTGGCTTTGCACTCGGGAATCACTCCTGGCAGTGCTCGGGGGACCATACGGGATGCTGGGAATCGAACCTGGGTCGGCTGCATGCAAGGCAAATGCCCTACCCGCTGTGCTATTGCTCCAGCCCCACACATGCAGCTTTAAAACATGTTCTGAGCAATGGGGGTGGGGGTGGGGAGCCGGGAGATGACTGACCCGCGTGGCCCTCGGTGATGCTCACCCTGGTCTTCCCGGCACCCTTCGCTTGCAGGTGAAAGGCCCTTCCACTGCAACCAGTGTGGGGCCTCCTTCACCCAGAAGGGGAACCTCCTGCGCCACATCAAGCTGCACTCAGGGGAGAAGCCCTTCAAATGTCCCTTCTGCAACTACGCCTGCCGCCGGCGGGATGCGCTCACCGGCCACCTCCGCACACACTCCGGTCAGTGACTGTCCTCCGGGGGAGGTGGGGCCGGATACCCTCTCACGCCCCCCACCCCATGCCCTCTGGAGAGAGCTTGGGGGCTTCTCTGTTCTCTCCTGGGTCACCCAGGGAGGAGGGCAGAGCTCTGCCTCTCCCAGCCTCCTCTCTGCAGCCTGGGCTTGGGGCAGCTGGGAGGGGGTGTCTCTGATCTGCCCCCGCCACACTCAGACAAGGAGCCTGGGCCAGGGACTTGCTTGAACGCCCCCCCTCCCGCTTGACTTTATTCGATGCCATTCATACCAGAGCCATCTGTGCCCCATCACGCCCCCCCTTCTGCTTCTGCGCTCCCCCTCCCCGTTTGCCCCAACTCTGGACCCTGCCGCCGGCTTCACCTTTCCTCGCCACACACTCCGGAGGTCCTAGCAGTTGTTTTTCGTCCTCTCCTGGACTTCCTGCTCGGTCCTCGGTCCATGCCCCCACCCCCAAACTTGAAGAAGGAAAGCCTTGACGTACAAGGCAGCGGGCTGGTCTCCTTTTCTGTCCTCCTCCCCCATGAGTGCCCCCAGTGGGTACCAGGAGGCTGTTGTTCCGGACAGCATCAGGCGCTGTGCTAAAGGGGTTTCCTAGCCCAGCCAAGACTGTCTGAGCGACCTGTTGAAAACCACTTGACCAATAGCACCTTGGAAACATTGGAGTATTCTAAGTTGTTAGCTCGGACTTGGGAAGAGGCCAAGAGCTGAGCTGGCAGGAAGGAGGGAACTCAGGGTTGGACAAGGCAGGGAAAGGGGCAGAGGGGAGCCGATTAGGAGGATCTGTCCTTGGAAAGTTTCCTTGCTGTTTTTTCTTTCCCTGAACTTGCCTGAGCTGGGATTTAAAGGGACAGAGCAGGGCTGGGTCTGGCTTTGGTCTGGCACATCCCTAATGTCTGTCTGTGCGGCCTTGAGTTTGATCTCTGGCACCACACAGCCCTTGAAGTAAGACCAGGTGTGGCCCTGGGGACCCCAAGCAACTCACGTTGGGCCTGAGTGCTGAAATCTCCCAGACCCACATTACCAGGTGGAGCCTCATGGGAGTTGGCCAGACACCCCTCCCCCCACACACTACCACCAGTACCATGGGTGTGGACCCTACATATAAAAGTAAATGAGCAAATAAAAGCTGAGCTCTGTCGCTCAAGATGCTCACCAGAGCCCTTCTATGGGAATGCAAAATGTTCCCCTCATTCAGCTGAGCCAATCACGCAATCAAACCATAAAGGTGACTCAGATACGGTTCCTGTTTTGTAGGACATTGTTCCATACAGGAAATAATGTACACAAATAAAAAAATAAAATGAGGGGACAGCAATCACCCCACCACCCTCTTCTGTTTTCAACCATCTCCCTTGCTCAAGAAGCAGAGAGAGGTCCCCCTGGAGTCATACAGCCTTTCACTCCCCTGAGTCTGACGCCCACCCAGTTACTCTGAGGCGGATGTTGGTCCCGTCGTGCTGATTAGGAGAGACTGGTGCCCCAGGGCTGGGGAAGGAATCTGCCGGTCACAGCCATTCTCCAGCCTCGCCCTTTATGATCCTGGACACTGGAGGAAACCCTGAACAACAAGTGTGCCCCCCACCCCCGCAAACATCAATAAAAATAAAAAGGGTTTCTCAGACCAGAGAGATAGTATAGCTGGTAAGCAGTGCCTTGTATTCAGCCAACCCAAGCTTGGTTTTCCAGCCCAAACTTCCCCCAAACCCTGCCCAAGTGCCAGAGAAAAAAATATTCTTTTTTTTTCTTTCGGAAAAGAGTTGCCCTGGTTGTTTTGGAACAAGGATGGCCTGACTCCTGAAATTCTGTCAACCCATGGGGTCGTAGCAATAGTACAGTGGGTAGGGCGTTTGCCTTGCATACAGTCGACCAGGGTTTGATCCCCAGCATCCCATATGATCCCCCGAGCTTTGACCGGGAGTGATTCCTGGATGTTGAGCCAGGAGTAACCCCTGAGCATCACCGGGTGTGACCCAAAAAGCAAAAACAAAACCAAAAAATCAATTCTATCAACCCTGGGTGGGGTTTGGGGTTTTTCTTTTGGGGAGTGTTGGTTGATTTGTTGTTTTGGCTTTTTTTGGGGGGGGCACACCCAGCAGTGTTCAGGGCTTACTCTTGGCTCTGTACTCAGGGATCATTCCTGGGGACCCATTTGGGGTTCTGGGGATCAAAGCCAGGTCAGCTGAGTGCAAAGCAAGTATCCTACCTGCTAGACTGTCTCTCAGGTACAGTGGGTAGATTTGGAATGTTGTTCTGTAGATTATTAGAAGTAGACAGATGTACTGCTGGGTTCCATCTCTGTGAGATACTTTCTATTACACCCCACACTGTAAGAAAGAAGAGGTTCCAGATATCCTGATATCGCCTACTTCTCAACTTGAGGTATATAGTTCCTTTCTTTCTCTTCTTGCTCAGAGTTCCTAAATAAAACTGTTTTACATCAGGGCCAGAGTGACAGTACACCGGGTAGGCACTTGTCTTGCATGCGGACAACTCAGGTTCAATACCCAATGCCCCGTGTGGTTCCCCCACAACCACTAGTACAGATCCCTGAATAGAGCCAGGAGTAAGCCCTGAGTACCACTGGGTGTGGCTCCAAAACAAATAAACAAAAATCAAACTGTTTCACTTCAGGCACCAGAAACAGTGCAATGGACTGAGCCCATGCTTGGCATACCAGAGACCTGGGGTTGATCCCTAAAGTCACATGCCACATGGTCCCCTGTAATCCTCCAAAAGAGACCATCCCCAAATATAGTGTGACTAAAAACAGAGTTGGGGGGAAGGGGGGAGGAGGAGGAGGAGGAGGAGGAGGAGGAGGAGGAGGAGGAGGAGGAAATGAAGTTTTTAGACTGGGAGATAGTACAGTGGTTAGGGCACTTGCCTTGCATGTGACTGACCTGGTATTAATCCCCAGCACCACGTATGGTTCCCTAAGAACCTCTAGAATGGAGCAGTGGTACAGTAGGTAAGGTTCTTGTCAAGCATGCGGCCATGCGGCCGATCCGGGTTCTATCCCCAGCATCCCATATGGTCCCTTGAGCATTGTCAGGGATTCCTGAGTGCAGAGCCAGGAATAACCCTGAGCACTGCTGGGTATTTTCCTCCACCACCCCCATCAATAAAATAACCTCTAGGAGTGATCCCTGAGCACAGAGACAGGAGACAGGAGAAAGCCCTGAACACCACCAGGTGTACCCCCACCGAAATATAAATAAAAATAAAAGGGGTTTCTCAAGGGCAGAGAGATAGTGTTGTGGGTAAAAAGCCTTGCATTCAGCCAACCCAAGTTTGGTTTCCAGCATCCCATATCATCCCCAAACTCTGCCAGGAAAGATTCCTGAGCACAGAGCCAGGAGTACGCCTTGAGCATCACTGGGTGTTACCAAAAAATAAAGTTTCTCTCTAAAGGTTAAACTGTTCCCCTGGGAATCTTAGGATCTTGGGTGGATGGAGATGCTGGTGTTTATCTCATCTGCTAAGTCCTAGAGTCTCCAGAACAAGACCAAAAAAGTGAGGTGTGAGGGCCATTACCAGCCTCCTGGAGGTCCATTCTGATCCGCAGCACCAGAAGACATCAAGGAAAATGGACATTACCTTGTTTCTCCTCTTGCAAATATCTTGCAAAAGTTGACTCTGAAAGAGTGTTGAGGGCTGGAGTAATAGTACAGTGGGTAGGGCACCTGTTACATGTAGATGACTTGGGTTCAATTCCTGGCATCCAGTATAGTCCCCCAAGTCCACCATTCCATGCAGAGCCAGGAATAAGTTCTGAGCACAAGCAGGTGTGGCCCAAAAACCAGAAATTTAAAAAAAAAAAGTGTCGACCTGAGTTTTTAGTAGTCATTTTTCTTCAGTAAAAAACAAATCTTCAGACGCTGTCCTTTATTTGTGAAGTGTCACCAAGGCCAGATGTCACTCTTGCTTTGCATGTTGGAGACCCTGAATTTCATGTCTGGAACCACAAACAAAATTGTTAAATACCAGCCAAATTGGTGCTCTCTTCTTTTTCACTTCTTTTGCTTTTTAGTGCTTTTTTTCCTCTGTTCTTTTCTTCTTTTTTTTTTTTATTAGAATCTCTCTTGTCAGTGATGGTTTTTCTGGGGACTCTCGTTATCACGTTGTAGAGACAGAAAGAAAAATAAGTAGAAAAACTAGAACGGGGATGGAGGTAAAAATAAAGTAAATATCAGTGAAAACTGCCCCTCCCCGCACTAGCAGATCTAAGGGTTCTTGTTTCTGTCACCCCAGCCCAGCAGTTTCCCCTAAACCAAACAAAACAGGTAGTTCATAAGCACAAAAATCCCCTTGTCTGATAAACAGCACAGCTCCCCGCCTGCCACATGGAAAGGTTAAACCACAGTCTGGGCCCCAAACTCTGAGATCCTGGGGAGGAGAGGCCGCCTAATGATCCCCTCCAAAGTCCCTGGGTTGGGAGCCAGAGAGGTAGTACAAATGCTAACGCACTCACCTTGCACGTGGCCAACCAGGGTTCAATCCCCTGCACCCACTGTGGACTCCCTGATCCTCGCCAGGAGTGATCCCTGACCTCAAAGCCAGGAATAAGTCCTGAACATCACTGGGTATGACCCAAAACACACAAAAACTTTTGAAGTCCATGGGTCCAGGGCCAGAGCTATGGAACAGCTAGTAGGGCTTTTTTCCTCGCACAAGGTCAACCTGGGTTTGATCCCCGGCATCCCGTATGGTCCCATGGTCCCATGAGCACCGCCAGGAGTAATTCCTGAAGAGCCAGGAGTAACCTCTGAGCATCGCTGGGTGTAACCCCCCAAAAATTAAATTAAATTAAAGTCCCTAGGTCCTTAGGTCCTCCCTTCTTTTTTTTTTTTTTTTTTTGGCTTTTTGGGTAACACCTGGTGATGCTCAGGGTTACTCCTGACTCTGCACGCAGGAATTACTTCTGGCGGTGCTCGGGGGACCATATGGGATGCTGGGAATTGAACCCAGGTTCCTGAGTGCAAGGCAAACACCTTACTCGCTGTGCTATCACTCCAGCCCCCCTCCCTTTTTTTTTTTTTTTGCATTTTGGGTCACACCTGGCGATGCTCAGGGGTCACTCCTGGCTCATGCACTCAGGAATTGCTCCTGGCGGTGCTCGGGGGACCATATTGGATACTGGGAATCGAATCTGTGTTGGCCATGTTGGCTGCGTGCAAGGCAAACGCCCTACCACTGTGCTATCGCTCCAGTCCCTCCCCCTCCCTTCTTTTAAGCAGCAATTTGGACATTTTTTTTGAACTTTTCCATAGGAGTTAGAATTTTTTAATTATAAATATATATTTTTTAATTTGGACATCTTGAGACCCATTAGCAGTTCCAAGGTAAATGCTCTGGATCCCTTCTTGGCACTCTTTGAACAGACTTCATTGTCTTGCCATGCTCACTGCTGACATTGGGGAAGGAAAGCCAAGCACAGGAATTCAGCCGAGCACCAAGCTGCCCATCCTCATGGGCACTGTACAGTTTGCTCCCAGGTGATTATGGAGACCCGGGCACAGGCGCTATAACGCTGGTGTGATTTTTCTCCCCTCTCCTCTCTCCTGCAGTCTCCTCTCCCACGGTGGGCAAGCCCTACAAGTGTAACTACTGCGGCCGAAGCTACAAACAGCAGAGCACCCTGGAGGAACACAAGGAGCGGTGCCACAACTACCTGCAGAGTCTTAGCACTGAAGCCCAAGCAATGGCTGGCCAACCAGGTGGGGCTGGAGGCGGCACTGTGTGCGAGTCCGGAGGCTGAGGGCAAGACCAGGGCGGTCCCGCACCTTCCCCCACTGAAAGGGTGAAGTCTGTGGAAAGGGCCCCGGTGCCTCAGGATATCTGCTAGCACCCTCAGTGAGTGTGAAGTCCCAGAGTAGGTGCAGCCGGGAAATCCCAAGACTGGGAAGAATGTGATCGATATCCTCAGTCAAAAAGAATGGTGGCTGGGCTGGAGAGATAGTACAGTGGGTAGGGCGTTTGCCTTGCAAGCTGTCAACCTGGGTTCGAATCCCAGCATCCCATATGGTCCCCCCGCCCCCCCGAACACTGCCAGGAGTAATTCCTGAGTGCAGAGCCAGGAGTAACCCCTGTGCATCACTGGGTGTGACCCCCCAAAAAAAAGAAGAGCAGGGGACTGGAGTGATACTACAGCAAGTAGGGCATTTGCCAACTTAGATTTGATCCCTAGCCCCCTGAGCCCTTCGAGGAGGGATTCCTGAGCACAGAGCCAGAAGCAGGCCCTGAGTACCACTGGGTGTGGCACCCCCCAAAAAAAGGGAGGCTAGAATCATAGTACAGAGGGTAGCACATTTGTCTTGCATGCAGCTGATCTGGGTTCGATCTCTGGTTCCCCAGGAGTGATTCAGGAGCACAACTGGGTATAGACCCAAAACAAGAAAAAAGAAGAAGTACACAACCAGGGATCAGATGTATACAGTTTGGGGCCGAAGTGATAGTACAGCAGATAGAGTGCCTGCTTTGTATGTAGCTGACCCGGTTTTGATCCCCAGCATCCCATATGGTCCCCTGAGTCCCGCCAGGAGTGGTTCCTGTGAGCACACCAGGTGTGGCCCACAAACAAAAAAACAAAAATGTATACAATAGGTCCTGATTTCATGATCAGAAATGTTGGTTGGATGAGTTCCATTTTCCCAGGCACTGGCCCTGACCATCCTGAGCAGTTGACCTACTGGTCTGTGGCCGTGGCATCGGTGACTGGGCCCAGGCTGGTCCTGCTCAGCTGCTGCTCCCTGTCCCCACCACCCGCCCTCCCACCAGGTGATGAGATTCGTGACCTGGAGATGGTGCCAGATTCCATGCTGCACTCGGCCTCTGAGCGGCCAACATTCATCGATCGTCTGGCCAACAGCCTGACCAAGCGCAAGCGAACCACCCCTCAGAAGTTTGTAGGTAAGAGCCCAGTGGGAGGGGCCGGAGAGCTGGTCAAGCAGGCTGGGCGCCTGCCCTGCATGTGGCTGATCACAAAGTCCCCCTGGGCACTACAGGAGTAATCCCTGACTACACAGCCCGGAGGAAGCCCTGAGCTGAGCGCTACAGGGTGTGTGGCTCCCCATACCACCCCGAGAACCCCTCATAAAAAGGGTCCAGTTGGAAGATGTCACTCACCTAATGAGCTCTGGAGAGCTGGCCAAAGTGGGGGGCGGTGGTGGTAAACCCTCTGCAGGACAGGAACGATGGTACAGCGGGTAGGGAGCTTGGTTTGCATGAGCCCGACCCAGGTTCAATCCCTGGCATTCCATATGGTCCCCTGAGCACTGCCAGGAGTGGTTTCTGAGTGCAGAGCCAGGAGTAAACCCTGAGCATCACTGGGTGTAGCCCCCCCACCCCCACTCCACACACACAAATCCCAGAATCTCTCTGCAGAATGAGGAAGGGTTGAGAGAGACTGTTCCCTGAGAGGGAGAGAGGGCTCAGATGGATCACTTGCGAGGTGGCAGAAGGAGTTGGAGATCAGGGTCTCAGACTCCCGATCCTTAAGCAGAGCAAAGCCTTCAGGCTGTAGGAGCTGAATGTGCCCCCCCCCACCCACCTGCCCTAGTTCTCTTGGAATTTTCTAGAAAGTGATGAAGAAGTAAAGATAACGGGCTGAGATTTGAGATTGAAGTAGTAAAGACAGGCTGAGATTGCGTCCTCTAAGATCACAGTCTAGAGCCAGGAGACCTGAGGGCAGTCCGTGGGTCTCACAGCCATCTCTGTGGGCTGGGCTGGAGGCCTGAGGGAACGAGAAACCCCCAGCCCCAGCTGTGCTGAGGCGCTGCCCTCCACAGGTGAAAAGCAGATGCGCTTCAGCCTCTCGGACCTCCCCTATGATGTGAACTCGGGTGGCTATGAGAAGGACGTGGAGCTGGTGACACACCATGGCCTGGAACCAAGTTTTGGGGGTTCTCTGGCCTTTGTCGGGGCCGAGCACCTGCGTCCCCTCCGCCTCCCGCCTGCCAACTGCATCTCAGAACTCACGCCCGTCATCAGCTCCGTCTACACCCAGATGCAGCCCCTCCCCGGTCGGCTGGAGCTCCCGGGATCCCGAGAAGCAGGTGAGGGCCCCGAGGACCTGACCGATGGAGGTCCCCTGCTCTACCGGGCCCGGGGCCCCCTCACCGACCCGGGGGCCTCCCCCAGCAATGGCTGTCAGGACTCCACAGACACAGAGAGCAACCACGAAGACCGGGTTGGGGGGGTGGTCTCCCTCCCTCAGGGCCCCCCGCCCCAGCCTCCTCCCACCATCGTGGTGGGCCGGCCCAGTCCCGCCTACGCCAAAGAGGACCCCAAGCCCCAGGAGGGGCTGCTGCGGGGCACCCCGGGCCCCTCCAAGGAAGTCCTCCGGGTGGTGGGTGAGAGTGGCGAGCCCGTGAAGGCCTTCAAGTGTGAGCACTGCCGCATCCTCTTCCTGGACCACGTCATGTTCACCATCCACATGGGCTGCCACGGCTTCCGAGACCCTTTCGAGTGCAACATCTGCGGTTACCACAGCCAGGACCGGTACGAGTTCTCGTCCCACATTGTCCGGGGGGAGCACAAGGTGGGCTAGCGGCCTCCTCCCCGGCCTGCCCTTCTGACAGGAGGTGAGCCCCATCCCGCCAGGTCCCGTTTCTCTTCGGAGCCCCCCCACTAGCTCCCCGACCTCTCGCCCGGCCCCAGCGACCTCCTCACCTCTCTCCCTCCTCTCCTCTGATGAGTTAAGTGTTGCGGGGAACCCTTCTGTCTTTCTGGCTTGGGTTTCTCCAGTTTTTCTTTCCTCCTCTCATCCTAGTATATCACTGAGTTATTTATTAATATAATTAGCTGATCGTTTGTCTTTTTTTTTTAACTTATACATGTCACTTGCCCGCCTTCGGTCCCCTTCACTTCCGGCCTCATTTTTCTCTCCCTGACTCAGCTTTCTCCGCCACCCCAGGGGTAGGAAGCTCGTCTCAGACCCGAGAGACCTCAAGCTTCTTGCTTCCAGGCCTCACCTTTGGCATCCACGGCTCCCTCGGGCCGTCCCTTGGCTCTGGGGCATTAAGTCTCCTCGAGGGACCCTTCAGCCTGGTTCTCCATACCTCTTGTGCCCTGACTTTAGGCAGCTTGCACTATTCTTGACCGAATGAAGAATTTCCTCCCTTGGAAGTGGGAGGGACTGAAGAAATGTCTCCCTTGGGCACCGTGGGACTGAGGGTCCCATAACGTCCCCCTGAACTACGAGCCCCCCAGAGCTCACATTCAGGATCTCCCTCTAGGATGCGGTAGGCCTGTCCCCTCTCCGAGAATAACGCCCACCCTCGACACTGCTCTACTCAGCTTCAGCCTGCCAGTCTGCTCAGTGGTGGCCCCTCTCTCCCTGGAGGGCCCCAGGGTTCTAGTCTCAGGGGCCAGTGCTGGGACCGCAACCCCTCATGTGACATGCTGAGGTACCTCACCGGGATGCAGGGCGTGGGGCGGGCAGCCCTGCCTTCCCCCACCTCTCACACGCCGTCACGGCTCTCAGGGGCTCCACAGATCCCACCCTCCGAGAAACCAGTGGGGTGCTGCCAATGACCAGGGGGTGCCCCCCCTCAGTCGAGCTGCCTTCTTCCTCTCCCACCCCTGCCCTGGCAGGATTTCCCCTCATTCCCTGTCTCCGTGGGCGCTGATCCTAGGAGCAGCGGCGGGAAGGAAAGGGGGTCTCCTTTCTCTCTCCTTGCTTTCAATAGAACCAAAAATTCCCCCAGGGGGTGGAAGGCCCAGTACCCCTCACCCCCATTTCGTTCCTGTTCCGGCAAGAATGGGATGGGCGCGGCTGAGCTACTGTCAGCAGAGGGGGCGCGTCCCGCCTGCTGCAGGGACCCCGGACCATCTGGGTGATGGAGACAGCGAGAAGGGCAGGAGGAGGTGCGGCTCCCGCGGGCACAGTCTCTCTGGGAAAGAGCTCCCTGCCCCAGGCCACAGCCATCCCATTCTCTGCTTCCTCAAGATTCAAACCAAAGGCTGTTTTTCTATATTTAAAGAAAAAAAAAAGTGAAAACCAAACACAACACCTCAACAAGTTTTAACACTTGGTCCTCCTCTCTCTCTCCTCTCTCCTTTTTCTTCTGACTTTCATCGTTCTCTCCACAAGCCCTTTCCTTGTTGGCTCTTCTGCCTCCTGCTCTTCTTACTCCCTATCAGGGATAATCTGGGGGATGACAGAGGGTTGCCTGAGGAACAGACCCTGGAATTGGGGCTCTTCAGGGCTCTGAGAAGAGTCTGACCCTCAGACGGGAAGGGAGACCCCAAGATAATTCTCTTCTTCCTCCTCTTTCTTTCCCCCTTACTTGGTCTCCCCAAGAGAATCAGACTGCCAGGGAGGGCTCTGTCCACCGGTCCTCCTTGGCAGTGAAGCAATAACAGTTGCTGCCAAGGTCACAGAATGGGGCGGGGGGGGGTGTTGCTCAGAGGAGTGGGGTCTCTACAGAAGGGGCATCTTCTCAACAACCCCTTGGGGAACTGGCTCTCTGTTTCAGGTAGGCAGCAGAGCTGAGACTATCTGGGGCTCTCCTCAACTGTCCTGGCGACTGAGCCCCTTCCGTTAGCGCCCCCCCCACCCCCTGCCGCCACCTTTTCTGCACTGCTGTTATTCAGTGACCCCTCATAAGGACTAGTCCTTTCTGGGGTATCAGAGCCTTAGGATGCCCCCTGCCCCCATCAACTCTGGCACCTGTGACCTCCTAGAACATGAAGGACCCCGCTCTGAGGCTATTCTCCGAGCCCGTGAGAGCAGAGACTGGAAGGGCAAGACCAGGTGCTAAGGAGGGGAGCGTAGCGCCGCCGCCGTCTCTCTCCGGACCATCAATGCACTTTAACCAGGGTTTTAGGTACAAAATCCTACTTCCCAGAGTCTTAGCTCTGGAGCCTCCAACAGCCTCAGCTCTTTCCCAGCTCCTTTTGCAGAAAAAAAAAAATGTCAAGGAAAAAAATACATTGAAACCCACATGGAGAAAAGAGGTGTTTTCCTTTTATATTGATCTTCAAAATCCACACCACACACGGAACATTTCTAAATAGACACTTTTCCAGACCTTTGTTTTTTCTGAGTCAGCATCCAAGCTGCGGATGGGATTTTGTAATACTTCTTGCAGCTTCTTTCGTTGTGTACATAATATATATATTATATATATTTTTAATCAGAAGTTATGAAGAACAAAAAGACAAAAAATAAAACACAGAAGCAAGTGCAATACCACCTCTCTTCTCTGCCAGGGTTTCGTTCGTAGCCTCTGCTTGGTGTCTCCTTTGGATTCTGCCCCTTCACGCCCCCTCTTCCTCTGGGTCCCCTGAACCCTTTTTTTTAAAAGAGTTTTTCTCCTTCCCCAAGGGGAGTTAAACTAGCTTTTGAGAATTATTGCAAAGCATTTTGTATATGTAATATATTGTAAGTAAATATTTGTGTAACGGAGATATACTACTGTAAGTTTTGTACGGTACTGGCTGAAGGTCTGTTATAAATAAACATGAGTAATTTAACACCCCTGCTTGATTCCCCAGACTTATCATGGAAGGGCTGGGGTTGGGGGGGGTTGCAGCACATGATACCAAATAGACTTTTGTTTTGTATTTTGGCCACACACACCAGCAGTGCTTAGAGGCGACTCCCAGTTCTGTGCCTGGAGGTCACCTCTGGCAGTGCTCAGTCAGTGGCAAGCATGCACTCAGCCTGTTGAGCTCTCTGGCTTGGATATTTTTTTAAAAAAATTGTACTTAAACACTGTGATTTACAAAGTTGTTCACAATACAGTTGTTTGAGGTATTCGATATTTCAACTCCAATCCCACCACCAATGTTATTTAGGCAGTGTTCCTAGGTTACCCATTCCCCATGCCTGCTCCCTTAGCAGGCACTAATTTGCTTTATATTGCTTATTACAATGTATATCTCCTAATGGTGTTGTTAAATCATGGCCTGAGGGTTCACTGAGCTGTTAGGTGCAAGCTGAGTGCAAGCTGTGCCTTTTTTTTTTTTTCACTTTTTGGGTCACACCCGGCAATGCTCAGGGGTTCCTCCTGGCTCTGCACTCAGGAATTACTCCTGGCAGTGCTCGAGGGACCATATGGGATGCTGGGACTCGAACCCGGGTCGGCCATGTGCAAGGCAAAAGCCCTATCCCCTGTACTGTTACTCCTGAGGCCCCAAACTGGGTCTTCTGTGTTAGTTTTCACTCTACGCAATTTTCCCATCTAATTCTCTTGTTTCTTCTGGGCTGTCAGCTCGGTGAAGTTTGGAGGTGTTGCACAGCTGCATGTGCGACTGATCAGTCGTGAATTGGGGCTGGTTCTCTTGTAGCAGGTGGAGCCCTGGGCCTTTGGCAGGGTGGGGACTCAGTCTGCACCCCGCATCGGGCCTAGTTCTCCAGAGATTTTGGAGTGGCGACCCAGCTTTCCTGGAACAACTCAGCTGCCAGCGTCTCTCCAAGATCTTGGAACTTTTATTTTTGTTTTTTTTTGTTTTGTTTGGGGGCCATACCCGGCAGTGCTCAGAGCCTAGTCCTGGTTCGTTCCACAGGAATCATTCCTGGCAGGCTCAGGGTACCATATGGGATGCTGGGGATCAAACCTGGGTCGGCCACATACAAGGCAAACACCCTACCCAGTGTACCATCTCCCTAGCACAGCCCCCCCCTTTTTTTTTTGGCCACACCTCGTGTTGCTCAGGGACCAACCACAGCTGCCAGTGCTTAAGGGACCATAGATGGTGCCAGAATTTCAACCATTGTGGAGGGCACAGTCAAATGCAAAGCAGATACCTTAACCACTACACTATCTCTCCAGCCACTAGCCCTGCCTGAACATTTTTAAGATGAAATAGATCTGGAGTGTGGAGGAATAGTGTGGAGACTTTGAGAGTAAATGGTAATGAGTTCAAATCCCCACATGGACTGAGCGTGCTCCTGACAGCTCTGCTGCTTAAACTCAGTGTTCCTGTGGTTTGTAATCCCCAGCACCACCAAAGTTAAATAATTTTTGGTTTGTTTGTTTTGCTTTGAGGACACACCCAGCGGTGCTCAGGGCTTACCCTGGCTGTGTACTCAGGGATCACTCCTGGCAGGGTTCAGGGGACCATATATGGTACTGGGGATCAAGCCAGGGTTGGAACAATTGGACAGTGGGTAGGGCATTTCCTTGCCTTGCATATGACCAGCCTGGGTTCAATCTCTGGAATTCCATATGGTTTCTCAAGCCCCACCAGGAGTGATCCCTGAGTGCAGAGCCAGAAGCAAGCCCTGAGCACCACCAAGTGACTCCATCAAAAAAAAAACAAAAAACAGAAGATGAACAAATCTAATATTGAAAAGAAAACAAGAATGCTCAAGCTATTGCTACAAAAGAATTTAACCTGGAATGGGAAATGAAGGAGATTTTCCTCGAAACATACTTTCAGGATAGGTGAGATGGTCACGCCACCTGCCTATTCATCTAAGACAAAGATTAACTGAAAGTTGGTCAAGGATCGGAGATCACTCAAAGGGCTGAGCACAGGCCCTGCATGCTGGAAGCCCATGTCTGATCTTTAGTGCCACATGGTCATTGAGCACAGCCAGGAGTGACACCCAAGCACAGAGGCAGGATGTGACTGGGGGGGGGGGCAGAAGTTAAAATTTAATTTAAAAAATATTAGTGACATACCTACTACATGCAGACACATTGTAGCAGGAAGATAGGAGTTACAATAAGGGTTACCATGATGATGATGAATATTCATGATGGGCTGGAGAGATCGTACAGTGGGTAAGGGGCTTGCCTTGCATGCTGCCAACCTGGGTTTGATACCCACTACCGTATATGGTCCCCCCGAGCACTGCCAGAAGTGATCCCTGAATACAGAGGCAGGAGTAACCCCTGAGCACAGCTGAGTGTGGCCCCAAAAGAAAAACAAAGTTTCATGAGTGTCTTGTAACTGCCAAGGACTATGCCAAGTATTCATTTAATTATAGAAACAACATACAGAAGAATGATCACTGTCACCAGCGAAAATAAAACATCCCTAGAGGAAATAAATAACTTGTCCGACAATCATGGGTCAATAAGTGACAGAACCTACATTTGAACCCAGGGGTGTGTGAATCCAAAGTCTGTGCCCATCCCTTTAAGCCAGGGAATGAAGCCCATGAAACCCCCAGGCTATAAAAATACAAAGAAAAGCCAAGACAGGAATATTAACTTGAGTCTCTCTTAAATAGTAACTCTCGAGGGCTGAAGGAATAGTATAGTGGATAGGAGCTTGACGTGCAGGCACTAAATCCAAGTTCAATCCCCGGCACCCTGTATGGTCTCCGGAACCCCTCTAGGAGGGATCCCTGAGCATAGAGCCCAGAGCAAGTCCTATGCATCCCTGGGTGTGACCCAAAACCAACCAACCAAAAAATTAACTATTGGGACAGAGATATAGTACAGGGGTCAAAGCACTTACTTTGTGTATGGCCAATCCTACTTCAATCCCCAGAACTACATATGGTCCCCCAAGCACTGCCAGGAGTGATCCCTAAGCACAGAGATGGATGTATCCCATAAGCACTGTGGATATTGACTAAACACAAACCAAAAAATCAATGATTTTCTGGGGCCAGAGAGACAGTACAGCAGGCAGGGCACTTGCCTTGTGCTTAGTGGGCCTGGGATTCATCCCTGAGCACAGAGCCAGGAGTAATCCCTGAGCAATGCGGGGTGCGCTCCCTCCTTAAAAAATTATGTATTTTCTGTTCACTTTGCCCAGAACATATTGGGAGGCCCACACCTGACAGTGCTTAGGGCTTACTTCTTGTTCTGTACTCAAGGATCAGGTTCAGATATTATAGCAAGTAGGGCATTTGCCTTACACACAGGGATCCTCTTGATAAGGGCCCAGGGGATTATATGTGATTGAACATGGACGGGTCGTGTGCACGGGAAGCACCTTATTAATGTGCTAACTCTCCAGGTCACGCCCCTTTGTGTGGCCACACCCAGCAGTGCTCCGGGCTTACTCTTGGTTCTGTGCTCAGGTATCATTCATTTCAGTCCTTAGGGGACCAAATGCAGTCCCAAATACAGGGGACCAAATGCAGGGATCGAACTAGGATCAAGCACATGCAAGGCAAACAGCTTATCCCTGTACTGTATCTCTAATCTCTTCACTCAGAACTTTTTTCTGTTCTTCCTCATCACTATTTCATAAGGAAATGTTGAGATGAAAATTGAGGATACTTCCATGACCCCTCTGAAAACTAACATTCTCGGTCAAAAGAGACCAAGAAAAATTTTGTTTGGATTAAAATAAAAGTTTGAAAATAAATTTAACTTCTCTCTCAAAAAAGTGATTTAGAGGTTAAAAGAAACCATGGTGGGTCAACTTCAGAGATAACAGGATGTTTAGCTGCCCATTAAGAAACAATCCTATGGCGCCAGATAGTACCAAGGGTAGGATGCTTGTCCTGTACTTAGCCTACCTGGGTTGCTTCCCCCGAATCCCATTTGGTCCCTCAGGAGTGATTCCTGAGGGCAAAGCCAGGAGTAACCCCTGAGCACTCCACTACCACACTGTCAGTGTCACTGTCCACCCGTTGTTCATCGATTTGTTCGAGCAGGCCCACTAATGTCTCTCCATTGTGACACTTGTTACTGTGTTTGGCATATCGAATACGTCATGGTTAGCTTCCCAGGCTTTGCCGTGCAGGTGAGATACTCTCGGTAGCTTGCCAGGCTCTCCGAGAGGGGTGGAGAAATCGAACCTCAATCGGCTGGGTTGAAAATCCTGGGATTGGAGAGATAGTATATCAGGTGACCTCTTACAAGAACTGAATCATTTTTTAAAAAATTAAGGGGAGGGGCTGGAGCAATAGCACAGAGGGTAGGGCGGTTGCCTTACATGCAGCTGACCCGGGTTCGATTCCCAGCATCGCATATGGTCCCCCGAGCACTGCCAGGAGTAATTCCTGAGTGCATGAGCCAGGAGTAACCCCTGTGCATTGCTGGGTATGACCCAAAAAGAAAACAAAAAAAAATTAAGGGGAGCGGGGGAGCGAAACGAAAGTACAGAAGGTAGGGCATCTGCCTTGCATGTGGTGGACCCAGGTTCTATCCCTAGAATCCAGAGACCCCGATGGGGTTGAGCGCCAACACCAGCACCCAGCAACAAGATGGAAGTTGAGCGCCAACACCAGCACCCAGCAACACGATGAAAACAGAAAAAAAAAACTGAGCATACAGGAGCACTATATGTTATGAACTATTATTATTTCATTAAGTTTGTATTTCAGGTTTATATTTGTGTTTGTGTATATACTGCACACCAACGTAAAATATCTTACTATTCTGCTACAGAGTCAAACTCTTTATTTGTCTTGGGGGCCATACCTGGCAGTGCTTAGAACTTACTCCTGTGATGCTTGGGGACAACATAGGTGCCCAGGATCCAACTGGGTTGGCTGCCTGGAAAGCAAACAGCCTACTTGCTGGACTGTGTCTTCAATCCCTCAACCCTGTTTTTAAGCCTTTGGTCTAGGCAATACCTCAAACCATGTTGTTAGGGATTGGGCAGCACAGCAGAGTCGGAACACAGACCAGATAGTACTGTGCGTTTGCCTCACAGGCAGCCAATCCGAGTTCGGTCCTCAGCATCCCATGTGGTTCCCGGTGTCCTTCAGGAGTGAATCCTGAGTGCAGAGCCAGTAACATCGGGTGTGACCCCAAAAGAAAAATAAACAAATAACTCCCCTTAAATACTTCTGCGCAACCTTGAGTGAGTAAAATCCTCTCTGCAACCTTGAGTGAGTAAAATCCTCTCTTGGTCTCGGTTTTCAACTTAAAAATAACAGCAGTACATACTTGTTGAAAGCTTGTTGAAGGTCAAAATCAGTTACTATTTATAAAAATATTTACTGTAGTGCCTGGCACTGTGCTAACAGGATCTGGAATTTTCAAGTGAATGGGGTGGGGGGGGGGGTGGCCCAAGCGATAGTACAAGAATAGTGTTCTCGCCTTGTTTGATCCTGATCCCGGCATCCCAAACGGTCCCCGGACCATCGCCGGGAGCAGTTCCTGAGTGCAGAGCCAGGAATAAACCCTGAGCATCTCCGGGTGTGACCCAAAAGCAAAACAAATTGAATGAGGGGGCCAAAGATTTCACGGCGAGGGCGTTTGCCTTGCATGCTGCTAAACCAGATTAGATCCAGTTCTGTTAAAGATCCCCTGAGCAGAGTAATCCTCCACCCCCCAGGACCACTGGGCGTGGCCCAACCCCTCCCGCACCCTCGACTCCCACCTTATCCCCACATCCCCCCACCCCCTCAAAAAAGGGTTAATGAGAAGCAGCATAGTACTAAAGCACCTGTCCATGGTGCCTCATTGATGGGTTTCTGTATATCCGAGACGGAACGAACATCGGTCGACCCCCATTTTCCCCACACGTCTTCCGTTACTTTCAGTCCACCGCCAAGTCTAACATCTAAGAAACGATCCGAGGGCGTCCCCAGGCGGCGCAGAGCCGCTTTCCTCGTCAGCTTAGAAGACGAGCGGCCCGTTTGCGCCGCACTACAACTCCCATCATGCATCGCTTCCGTTCTGGCCTCCAATTGGTCGAAGACTTACCGGGCTAGTGTCAAGCAACTTCCGTATCGAGAATCCCCAAAACTGCTTCACTAACCCTGCAGAATTACGTCCGGGGCAAAGCGCCGCGCAGCCTTGTGGGAAACTTATCACTCCAATTTCCTTCCGCCAGCAGGCAAAATAGTCCCGCTGTACCCTCGTAACACACATAAATGAGTTCTAGAACCACCTCTGAAGTACAGATTCCAGCAGAAATGCCTAAATAATAAAGAAAATTAGGCTAAAACGAGTTATCACGTTTGGTGTTCATTTCTTAGGACTTCTTCCGGTGTGCGCGTAGGGATCTCACACTATATAAGAGAGCCGGGACGAGAGCCGGATCCTCTTTCGTATCTCCGCTTCCAAGATGGTGAGTTTGGGCGCGTGGTGCGTGTCGGCGGCTGAGAGCCGCCTCCTCGGGACTGATTTGAGAGCCAGAGGGTGGGAAAAGAGGGAGCGTGTGCTTATACCCCGGCTTTGGGGAGTGCTGCGGAGGGGCCGCAGCAGCGAGTAGCTTCTGGCTGGGGGTTCGCGGGCGGGGGTCGTGGGCGCGACGAGCCCGACGCCTGCCCAACCGCCGCCCCTCCCCCCCGCTAACGGCGTTTTTCCTCCTCCGCAGACCAAAAAAAGAAGAAACAACGGGCGAGCCAAAAAGGGCCGTGGCCACGTGCAGCCCATCCGCTGCACCAACTGCGCCCGGTGTGTGCCCAAGGATAAGGCGATCAAGAAGTTCGTCATTCGGAACATCGTGGAGGCCGCGGCAGTGAGGGACATTTCCGAAGCCAGCGTTTTCGACGGTGAGTCACGGCGACCCCCGCGCCCCCAGACCTGCTCCTGCGCAACCGTCGCTGGTGGCCAATTAGATCCTTTCTGTGCCCCTCCCCCGTTTGCTTTGTTATTGTTACTGAGTTTGGTGCCCAAGGAAGGTACGGGGTTTGCTTGTCTTCCACCCACCCCTTTGGTGTTTTGGGCCACACCTGGGAACGTCCTGGTCTGACCGATGGCTCTGCTTGGGGATCAGTCCCGGGTCGGCAGCGTGCAAGGCAAGCGCCATACCCGGTGTGTTCTCTCAAGGGGGGGCGTTTTGCATTATTTTAAAGTTTTCATTAGTGAGACGCCATGAGGCACAGTTGTAGACTTACAAATTTTTGCGCTTGGGTTTCAGTTACACAATGATCAAGTACCCATCCCTCCACCAGCGCCCATTCTCCACCACCACGGGTCCCAGCATCCCTCCCACCCCCCATCCCACCCTGCCTCTGTGGCAGGGGATTCCCTTTTGTTCTCTCTCTCCTTTTGGGTGTGGAGGTTTGCAAAAGAGGCACTGAGTGGCAGTCATGTTCCGGGAGTATTCGATATGCCAAACACAGTCACAACAAAGTCTCCAATGGAGACTTTACTGGGCCTGCACGAGCAAATCGAGGATCAACGGGAGGGCCTTTACCTTTACCGTGTTCGGTCTATAGTCTACTTTCAGCGTTCATCTCCCATCCTGGGAGGATCCTCCCAACATCAAGGGGTGGCGTTTTAAAAGTGCTTTTAGAGCTTGTACTGTCAGCATTTGGCGGGCACTTACGAACGAACGCGGGGGAAGGGGATAAAATGTAGGGAAGGAACAAAATCTGCCACCGCCAGGCCACACACCCCTTCAAATAGCCTCTAGAGGGTAGAGGTTGGCCTGTGATTTTCGTCCTTACAAGTTTAAAGGGACATGTAGGTAGGGCGGGTTCAGCTAAATTTGGGAGACCTTGGGACTGTATTCCCAACCTAAATCTCTGGATTTGTTTGTTTCCTGTTTCTCAGCCTATGTGCTTCCCAAGTTGTATGTGAAGTTACACTACTGTGTGAGTTGTGCCATTCACAGCAAGGTGGTAAGGAACCGATCTCGTGAAGCCCGCAAGGACCGAACACCCCCTCCGAGGTTCAGACCTGCGGTAAGTTATCTTCAGGTCCGGAGGTGGGGGGACAGTGAGGGCCTGGGTGCTGTCTGATTGAGGTCTTAAAGATGAAAGAATCCCTTTCAGAAGTAGTGGGAACATCTTTTCCCATGATTTATGGGGAGGAATTGTTATGGGAGATTGGTCAACTTAGAGACGGGAGTTTTCTGTCAGTGGTTTTCCATTTACTCTGATTCCTTTGCATTTTTAGGGTGCTGCCCCAAGACCTCCACCAAAACCCATGTAAGGCAGCTACTGACCTTAAGGATTGAAGACAAACTCCTTCCGAGGAAAATAAAGTGGAACTTATACCTTGTGTAGCTTGTTGAGTGTCTGTTGACAGATAATGGTGGGGCTGTGTATAGGGATGGGGGTTGTATTTTTTATGCCAAGTATTCAGATGTGGAGTTTCACAGGTCTTTTTCAAGATCAAGAACTCAATCCCCCAGTTGATTTGTTTAGGCCATCTCCTGGTATGCTCTGGGATCACATCTGGGGAAGTGGGGGGAACACCCTATAGTGTGCCAGGGTTCTTTTTAATAAAGTTGCTCTCAGTACTTTTACATTCAATATTCGAGTACCAATCCCAGCACCATTGTTTTCCCAAGCCTGCCCAGAGAACCGGCCCTAGATAATTTATTTTGTATTGCTTGTTGGGAGTAATAACTTCTAAGAAAATATGAAGAATATTGTATATCACCTTGGAGCCATTAAGCCATTGTATAAGCATTATACACCGCTGGAGCGATAGCACAGCGGGTAGGGCATTCGCCTTACAAGTGGCCAACATGGCCAACCCGAGTTCGATTCCTCCGCCCCTCTCGGAGAGCCCGGCAAGCTACCGAGAGTATTCGATATGCGAGACACAGTAACAACAAAGTCTCCAATGGAGACGTTACTGGGCCTGCTCGAGCAAATCGACGATCAACGGGAGGGCCTTTACCTTTTATAAGCATTACAGGTGAGCCTTGTGTACTAATTTTTTTCCCTCTTTGAATCATTCTGTTCAATGCTCCCATTCATTCATTTATTTATTTGGCTTTTGGGGTCACAACCCAATGATGCACAGGGGTTACTCCTGGCTCTGCATTTAGGAATTATCCCTGGCAGTGCTCAGGGGACACTATGGGACATGGAGTCGAACCCAGGTTGGCCACATGCAAGGCAAATGCCCTAACCACTGTGCTATTGCTCCAGCCCCATGCTCCCATTGTTTCTGATGATGGTCAGGGGACCATAAGGGATCCCGGGATCCAGGTAAAGTGCATGTAAGACAAGTACCTTGCTAGCTGTATAGTGCCTCTCCATCAAGCCCCTAGTGTGTGTGTGTGTATACATTTTTTTTTTAAATCAGTATTGATTGCCTTATACTTGACACCCCATCCTATGTTGTGTTCTACTCAAGTTTTAAATAAGGTGATAAACCTGGAGTTGTATATTTAATTGAATTTGGTGACTGGGGTCCAGGCCAGGGGCTCATAAGAATGAGCCTAAACGGTGCCAGAGGCAGTTCCTGGGCATGACTGCCAGATTCCTGGAAAAAGGGAGATGATATCACACATTTCCATCACAAAACCCTATACCTGGGTTTTTCAACACAGTCATGGATTGGGCTCATCCATCATCCTATGGAGATTGGCTCTGAGCACGGTATGCTCTGGGTTCTGGACATTATTGGCTGCCGGGGCCCACTGGGCCCTAGATGGATGGTGGACTCACGTGTCCCTCGATCCCCACTTGGGTGCCTATCTTGCAGGATCTGGAGGTTTACTATCTCTGGAAATTTGTGAGTGGATCATAGATGTTAATGATCTTACGTAACACCAAAAGTAGTTTTAGGGTGTGACTGCCAGGGGTGCTGGGGATTTTTGGCCGAGGTGGGGTGGGGCGTGGTTCACATCCAGTGTTGCTCCTGGCTCTGAACTCGGGAATCACACCTGACCATGCTCAAGAGAACACATGGGATGACAGGGATCGAACCTGGGTCAGCTGCATGCAAAGCAAACACCCTACCTGTATACTATCATTCCGGCCCCCCAGTGCCAGGGTTTTAAACCCAAGTGCAAGTCAACTGTTCTAAAAGGCCTCTAAGGGAGGAGAAAGTACTACTGTAGAGTGAAGACATTAAGAAGCAACAGACGGGCTGGCACAACTGCACAGCGGGTAGGGTGTTTGCCTTGCATGCGGCCGACCTGGGTTCGATTCCCAGCATCCCTTATGTTCCCCTGAGCACCGCCAGGGGTAATTCCTGAGTGCAGAGCCAGGAGTAACCCCTGTACATTGCTGGGTGTGACCCAAAAACTTTAAAAAAAGCGACAGACTGAGTAGTGCCTACTCCTGGTTGCAGATACAAAGGCTTTATCACTAGTGAGCTGTTTTTGTAATTTTTACATATACATGGCAAAATTAAACAGCCTTACACATAATAGCCATGGCTGGAGTTCTAGTAAAATTCAAGCGTCTTATGTATATGAAAGTGTTAGTCTTGTGTATGCTTCCTATTGCTTTGGGATTGCTGACGAAGCTCGGGATTTACTCCTAGCTCTGCATTTAGGAATTCTGGCAGTATTCAGGGTGCTGGAGATTAAACCCAGGTAGGCTGCATGCAAGGCAAGTGCCTACCTTCCATACTATTGCTCCAGCCCCATTTTGTATTCTGTCTCAACTTGGAGCATTTTGCTGAGAATTGGCTTAGCAGGTTTTCTACTGGAAGGTGGTGCTAAACAGAATTAAAAGTGCCTTTGAATGCAGCAAACCCAGGATTGAGCACCGTCAGGAGTGACTTCTGCACCACTGGTGTGTCTCAAAAGCCCATATCATGCTGTGCCAGGATTAAAATCTGGGAATATTCAATTGCCATCTATGGGATAGTTACGTAAATATTCACCCAAAAGATGTTCAGGCCAGAGAATATTGTGGTTAGGATTCTTGCCTTGATGCAACTGACCAGGGTTTGATCACTGGCACCCCATATGGTCCTGGAACCCATAGCCAATAGTATATCCTGAGGATTAATTGTGGCCTACGGGCTCCTCACACATACCACCAAAAAAAAGAGACCTTGGAGGATAACTTAAAGGGAGGGAGCACATGCTTCGTATGCAGGAGTCCTGGAGCCCTGGCACTGCGTAATCCTGAACACTGCTTAGGGAGCAATCTCTGAGCACCCTCTGGTGTGGCCCCCAAGCAAGCATGTGTGGCTCAGTGACTGAGAACCTGCTTCTTGTGGAACCCTAAATTTGATCTCCAGCACTGAAGGTAAAGCATGTACTCATTTGTTCATGGAATAGTTCCCAGAAGAACCCAGTGATGGTTGAACTGATGGTGAGAACTGGGTGACAGAAGGGCAGGTGGCAGGAATTATTTCTCACCTAGGTTATTGGCACCCGCTAGAGCCAACTGAAGATTAATGGGATGATAAGTGATACAAGTGATATTAGGTTACAGCAATGGCCTTGTTAACGGTCTTCTTGCCCCTATTCTCGCCCACCACCAATTCATGCATCGCTATTACATGATTGATTATTTAACACTGCAAGCTCACCCTCTAGCCCTGTACTCTATTCTCTGCTAGGAATCATCTCTCAGATCAATACACAACATCCAAGCCTTGGTGCAAAGACTACCTCAGAATCCTCTGCACCATCTGTCTGAAGTCTCTCTTCTTGGGGCTGGAGCAGTAGCACAGCGGGTAGGGCGTTTGCCTTGCACACAGCTGACCTGGGTTCAATCCCCAGCATCCCATATGGTCCCCCGAGCACCACGAGGAGCTATTCCTGAGTGCAGAGCCAGGAGTAAGCCCTGAGCACTGCGGGGTGTGAGCCAATAAATAGAAAATGAATGCTTATATGAGGGAATGTGGAGAAGTCTCCGAGAGATTCAAGATTTTATTCATTTTCTGTGGATACTGTAACATTACTATACACTCAGTTAAAGCAATGCATAAATGTATTATTTACCATTGTAGACATAAATTTAATATGGGTTTTCTAGAGTAAAAAATAAAGATCTCAACAGTACTGGGGCCCTTTTGGAGACCTAAAAGGAGAATTTTTTTTCCTTAATTCTTCCAATTTCTAGAGACTGCCTGTATTTCTTGGCTTGACTCCCTCCATTTTCAAAATCAGCAGAAATTTCAAATTTGCTTACCTGGGACCCTTGTGATTACATTGAGCTGACCCAGATATTTCAGGGAAAATGTCTCATCGGAACACACACTTGCAGATTCCCTTTGCCGTGCAAAGTTACATGCTCCCAGGTTTCTTGAGCTGGTATTTGGGCATATTTGGGGGCTTTGCTTGCTTGCCGACAGCCACAAACCTCTATCCTGGTCAGCCAAGCTCATGTTGCAACCTTCCTGCTAGAAGCCTGCAGCGGGGTGGAGTGAGATTTACTGCATTTCACTTCATAATGGTCACAGATTTTATGCTGAAAAACCTCTTTTGCAATAATGTGAGGTGTGACTATTATGTACAGCTTTTTAAAAAAAATTGCCAGTATGAAAAATTTGGTGTGGAGCTAGAACGATAGCACAGAAGGTAGGGCGTTTACCTTGCACACGGCCAACCCAGGTTCGATTCCCAGCATCCCATATGGCCCCCCGAGCACCGCCAGAAGTAAGTCCTGAGTGCATGAGCCAGAAGTAACAAGCTTCTGTGCAAAGCTGGGTGTAACCCCCCCAAAATTTTTTAAATAAAACAGAAATATGGTGTGATGATTATGTGCTAAAATATAGTATATACACATAGAGGTGTGAAACTGTGTTCTGAAATTACATTGTACAATAAATAATCAATTTTTTTTTAATTTTAAGGTTTGAGCTAGGGAGACAGCACAAAAGTCTAGAGTCCATGCTATATATGTAGAAAACATAAGGTTTATCCCTAGCACCACATGGTTCCATCAGGCACTACCAGCAATGATCACTGAGCACGACCAGGTGTGCTATAGAAAGAAAGGAAGAGAGAAAAAGAAAGAAAAAGATAAGGCAGGTGGTCAACACAGTCGCCATCCCCTGTACCATGTACAATTCTCCGATCGTCCACCAGGGGTCATTCCTGAGTACAGAGCTAGGGAAAGCCGCCCGCTCAGTGGACACTGGCTGTGTGCGTGTTGAGGGGAGGTGGATGGTGGGTGCAGGCAGGGGATGGAAGGAGGGTATGAGGGGAGGTAGAGAAAGGAAAAGGAATAGCAGCCCTACCTTAAGCTCTAAAATCAAGCTATGGGGGTCCGGAGAGATACAGTCCTGCAGGTAGGGTACTTGTCTTGCACACAGCCAACCCAGCTTCAGTCTCTGGCATCCATATGGTTGCCTGA